CCACTACGGCGGCCCCGGCGGCGGCGGCGGGCCTAACCCCTCTCGCGTTCCCCGCCTGCGCTTCTGCCGCCGCTGCGGCGGCCGCCGCCGCCTGGGGGATGCCGCGGGCCCAAGCCGCGCTAACCGTACCCACGGCTGCGTCAACGCCCAGCTTTCTCGGAGAAGAGGAAGCAGCAGCAGCACCACCGGTCCTACGAGCGCCGCCTGCGCTGGGCTCTTGTCCCCGTGCCTGCGCCGAATCAGCAGCAGCAGCAGCAGTAGCAGCAACAGGAGAGGCGGGGGCGGCAGAGACAAGGTCGCGGACCGTAAGCCCGCCGACGGCGACGCGAAGGGACCGGCCGAAAGGGTTGTTGTGGTCCACGGGGAGGTGGACCGTCAGCCCGCTTAGCTCGACAGAGCACTGCGGCCACGCCTCGGTCGCCGTCCCGTGATGATGATGCGCGCTTGTCCCCGCCGCTCCGCCGCCGCCGCCGCCGCCGCCACCATCGCGACCGCCGTTGCCCTTGGCTCGCTTGTTCCCGCTCCCGCCACCGCCGCCGCCGCCGCCGCCGCCGCCGCCGCCGCCCCCCGGGAGCACGATGACATCGTTGCACCCACCGTTGAAGAGGGCTTGTCGGAGGAACGACTCCCGCGGCAACGAAGAGCTGCTGCTCCACGATGACGAACTCCCCCTAGCGCCACCGCGTCCACCGCCGCCGCCGCCTCTAGTGTCCGACTTCTTGGACTCGGGAAGCACGCCGGGCTGAGGGTGCCGGTTGCGACGAGATTGTCGAGGAGGGCAGGGGTGCGATGTCGAAGGGGGGGGAAAGGATGGGGCGAAACAAGAGAGCTGGAGCCGTTTCGCGATAGCGTAAATGGAGGAGGGAGGGTAAGATCTAGCTCTTGAGGTGGAAGAATTGGCGAGCGCCGCACCATACGGATTAACAGGAAGCGAACGGAAAGGAGGCGGAGTACCACACAAGTGTCGCATGTAGTTCCGAAGTGAGTCGAGTGGGTGAGCGACAGAAGCCCTTGAATCGCAGCACAAGTATCGCCTGATCGGGGGGGGGGGGGGGGGGGGGGGGAAAAATAACCCCAAAATCTTTAATTTTTTCCTCCCCAAAAACTTGTGGAAAGAAAGGGATTTTTGGGCGGCCCCCCGGGGCCATGGCAAAAAAAAAAACCCCACCCCCC